GAAGGATAGAAGGCTGAGTCAACCTTGAGACAGCTACCTGGGATTGAAACCTGGGTCATGAGCAGTTTTGGCTGCAGTAGAGCAGTTTAACCACTGTGCCACGGGGAAGAAGACTCTGTACCAGTTAATCTTGATCACGGCTTATAATGTGCCTGTTCAGTGAAACTGCAGGATTTCTCCAGCTGGCTTTATGTTTAGAATCTACTAAGGCATCAGGAGACCAGTGTGAAGTGGGGAGGGAGGCGCAGAAATTGCAGCTACTTTAATGTATGTCAAATCCCTCAGTAGTTGAAAAGTTTCAAACTGGAGCAATTAACCTTTCTGCTCATTTTGTGACAGAAGGTAGGCTGACTGCAAGAGGAAGATTATCAACAGTCCTGTAGGTTCTATTTATAGGCGCTACTTACATCAATTGAATAAATCTCTGGGTGAATTATTAGCATAACAAAAACTACAGGAAGGCAGCACAGTAGTCTCTAATGGGTCTCAGCTGCTTCACAGCATCCCTTCACTTTTCCAAAACATCTCAAATATTCTCTGGCTAGCAACTCCTATCACTGTCATATTATTTTAGCTGAATTCCAGGACTGTGCTTCACAAAAAAAGCTTTCTATTTCTGCCACCTACAGAAAATATAAGATAGTACAGAACTGGTTTCACATCAATCCTACACTGAAAAGATGATTTTTAGATATGTTTAAAAGTGTTCCAAAGTTAATACTGCCTTAAGTAGGCTCTGCAAACAATAAAAAGTGTTGTGCAATATAAGCAAATGAGAGCTGCCTTAGAAAACAGTCTGGCTATGGATCCCTCAAACTCGAATTTCTAATCTGATATGGAAATTTGTGTTTTCTGGATGACAGATCCCAGACCTCCATGGCTGATGGAGCAATTTCCCAACTTGGCCTTTGCCACCTGTTATTGCCTCTCGGGAATCTCCTCCTTACCGGAGATGAAAAATCACCACATCAGAGACCTTCCAACCCATTCTGTGCAATTTTAAATTCATCTGCTGTTGCTGTTTTTGCAGTTTTTTAGTTATATTATTTTATGCTTATGGTGTCTATTTTGTTATCTTTATGCATTATTTGAGATCAATGTTGTATTATATGTTCTTTTGTAAGCGGCCCAGAGTAGTTAGTGGCTTGCCACTAGATGGGTGGGATATAAGTACAACCAACCAGCCAACCAATCAGTCAGCCAGCCAGTCAGTATGTAACCTATAAATTGTACAGGGCTCTTTCACAAGTGAGAATGTGCTGCCCATTGAACTATGCTGGCTGTTGTGTGCGACACAGATTTTTCCAATACACTTGTGAAGACAACTGCAATTCCTTTACCTTTAACGTGTTAAAGAAGTGGGCTGCTTGGATCTTCAGAGGACCAAGATACCAATACCTGAGAGAGAATAATGCAAAGAAGTTAAATGGGACCGAGTGTATAGGGAAGGCAATTATTTGTCCCTATGCAATTTCTCCTAAACTGTTTCTTACAGTCAAATCCTTGGAAGCTGGATGGCCAGGCAACACTTTATCCCACATCTCATTTAACGATAAATTAAATTTATCCCACGTCTCATACTAAATCTTGGCTGGTGGCATTCACTAGCAGTCCGCAGCAACCTAGCGTTTCAAATTCTGACTCCGCACCATTGCATGCATGACATGAGCTTTTGACTTTTCCGTTCCACAGAAATGTGGAATCTTTGGCCTTCCAGACATTTGGGACTATAGCTGCTATCCTTACAACCGGGACAGAGCACCTCTAGGATTATGACAGGCACAGGAAGGGGACATTGGGCAGAAATGGTTTCCAACACTTCCTGTGCAGCACCACATAGAAAAGAGGACCCAGGAACCAGGCTGGGGCTTCTTCCCCAGCCTTTTTGTCCTTGGCCAGTGGTTCTCTAACTTGTCCCCCCAGATGTTTTAAATTTGATTTTCTAGGATTCCTGATTAGCAATGGGGGTATTCCTATACAAATCCCCATACACAGCTGGACTTAATGAGTCCACTCATGCATCCAGCAGTGGCGGCAGCCTTCCAATCCCTCCCAGAGCACAGCTGTCTCTTTCCGCTCATCTAGCCACTCGGCAGCCGTGCAGGGAGACTTGTCCTCCCTCCCCCTGCCTGGAATTGGCTAGATCAGTGGAAAGAGAGAGCTGTGCTCCGGGAGGGATTGGAAGGCTGGATTCAGTGTTTCTATAGCAGTGGTTCCTGACCATGAGCAACCCAGGTGTTCACTGCAATTCCCAGAAGCCTCATCCACTAGTTGTGTTGGCCGGGGTTTCTGGGAGTTGCAGTCCAAGAACACCCGGGTTACTCAAGGTTGAACCACATGATCTAGTTTCTGTCACTTCAGCCATATCCCTGCAAGTGCTGGAAAGCAATGCATGCTAATTATCACATGATGCATATCAACGTTTGTTAACTTTGTGTGATTATCAATGGCTCCTTCTTAAACTAGGAGGAGGTAACAAGTGGGGTACCAAAAGGTCCCAGTGCTCTTCAGTTACAAGATGGTGGATACTTGGCTCAGTAATCCTACAAGTGAGAAAGATCTTGAAATTATTGTAGATCAAAAGCTGAATATAAGCCAATATTTGCTGCTACAAAAAAGGCAAATGCTATTTTAGGCTTCACTGACTGAAGTATAGCCTCCAAATCCTGTGAAGTACTAGTTTCTCTCTATTCAGCACTGGTCAGGACTCATTTAGAGTACCATGTCCAGTTCTGGACACCACACTTTAAGAAGGATTTTTTTTCAATTTTTTATTTTTTCATTATTCTTAAACTACAACATAAACTTAAAATAAATCAACCAAAATACAAATCGACTGTGTTCCCCATTTTTTTAATTTTTTAATTTTTTCATTATTCTTAAACGATAACATAAACATAAAATAAATAAACCAAAATACAAATCGACTGTGTTCCCCACCACCATAGTCGGGCCCTCTTGCAGTAATCCTCTTCTTCCTCTATCTTTATTCCTCTTCTTCCTTTACTGTCCTCTTCTCCAGAACTGCATTGATTTTTGATTTGGAGCTTTCCCTTTTCCTCTTGTTAGCATTTATTCAAGAAATCTGCCCCATATATCATAGAAATTATTCTTTTTCATCTCTCCTTTCTTAAACTTTAAGTTACAAGTTTACTTAACATTTATAGCAATGTTCCATATGGTTTATGTATTTTATGTTTATGTTGTAGTTTAAGAAAAATTTAAAAAATTAAAATTGAAAAAAAGAAGGATTCACACAAATTGGAACAAGTTCAGAGGACAACAACAAAGATGATCACTGGACTGAAAACCAGTGAGGAAATACAGAAATAAGTAGACACTTTTGAGAAAAGAAGACTCAGGGGATATTGCACTCTTAGGGCTGAAAACCAAGCACAGTGAGGAAATACAGAAATAAGTAGACACTTTTGAGAAAAGAAGACTCAGGGGATATTGCACTCTTCTAATATTTGAAAGATTGTCATAGAGAGGCAGAAACTGTTTTTAATCATCCCAGGGTGGAGGACATGTAATAATGGACTCAAGTTACAGGAAGCCACTTTTGAGAAAAGAAGACTCAGGGGATATTGCACTCTTCTAATATTTGAAAGATTGTCATAGAGAGGAGGGGCGGAAACTGTTTTTAATCATTCCAGGGTGGAGGACATGTAATAATGGACTCAAGTTACAGGAAGCCAGATTTCAGTTGAATATCAGGAAAAACGAACTGTTAGTATGACAACGGAACCAATTACCTCAGGAGATATTGAGTGCTCCAATGCATTCATTGGGCGCATGAATGCATTGGAGCACTAGATGCATTCAAGAGAAAATTCAACAACCATATGTCAGATCTACTTTGATTTAGATTCCTACAGTGAGCAAGGGATCGGACTCAATGGCCTTATAGGCTCCTTCCAGCTCCATTATTCTATGATTATATGAGATTGTGTGAGATACTTCAAAAAAGAAAAAGTACGTGGTATTGCTTGCGATGCTAGAAAGCAGAATGTAGGCCACAGTACACAACAAAGCCAAAGAGATACAAGGTTAATACTGTATTTCGTACTTGCTGACTTTTGCTCCTGCATCTCTGTAAGACCCCCATCGTAAACCAGTTACAGCAAATACAGGCTGCTCTTTGTTTCCCTGCAAAAGAAAACACCAAAACAGGAACAAAGTTTTGCACAGAAGTAGTTAGGCCTTTAAAGTGTACTAATTTCTAATGATCTCATCAACAGTCAACCAAAAATACACAGCATACACCCAACAACAACAACAAAAGTATTATATGATCCAAACTCCAATAAACAATTACAAATGAATGGTCCAATATCAAAGGTTTTATGGAGGCAGGGACTGGATGTTTGATGGACTGCAGCTCCCGTCATCCCTCACCACTGCAGAATAAAGTTTGCATGGAGAAAGCTGGAAGTTCAATTGCCAGCATCTTCAGGCTGGCCAAGGAGAGAACCTTACTAAAAAACCTGAAGAGCTGTTGCTTGTGCCAACAATATCAAACTATATAGACCAAGGGTCTGATGCAGTGGAGGGGCAATCTGTACTCAGGTTTGTTTCACCCTTTCAGCCAAAGGCCACTTCATATTCTGGATCCCAGAAGACTAAGGCAGAGAGAGACAAACTGCATTCTCCACTGCAACACTAGTATGGAATAATCAAGGGAATCTTTCATACAAGACATGTGGGAATAGAGGTCTCTTTTCTGATTTCTAGAGTGGCTGCTTTTAATACTAGAAGCAACTAAGCCAAGAATCCTAAGGTACCAATCAGCCCTGATTTCTCAAAGGCAGGATAATGAGAGGTGTTTCGGCAACAGATTGTCAAAGAAAGAAAAACAATGCTATACACACCTGAGAAATATATATTCCTGAATGAACATCCGCTGTCAGTTGAATAAACTCTACAGAGGCATCTAATGCTGTTTAGTCAGAATGCAGCCTTATTGTATATTGTCCCTGCATTTATCAGCAAAATACATTACTTCCATTATAACATCTAGAGTTTTAAGCACAGCCTTGTCCTCAGATCCTCTGCCTTGCTCTAAGATATGCTGTTACCTGAAGAGTTATTCCATAGTGTTGCAGCCCCTCTGGAAATACAACCTCTTGTGTGATCAGAATGGTGTAGGGTCAAATAAATTCAAGAACAACAACAACAACAGTAGCTAACACAGAATTTCAGCAATATGAATGCACTGCAGGAGCAGTTAATCAAACGTTGCTACCTTGATCTGCAATACATCGAGTGGAATAGTCTCTCCTCTCAGTATGGACAATGTGGCATCAATGATACATCTGAGGAAACAGAGCAGCACATAGTTCAGCAAGGGAGCATGTCACTTTGCATTCAGAGGATCTCAGGCTCCACTTCACATGGTTTCATTAGGAAAGCACCTTAAGTTGCAGAACTGGAGAAGACTTCTGCCCAAGGACTTCAAAACTCCTGCCAGTCAGAATTAACAACACTAGCCGCCCAGAGGAAGGCTTGGCCTGAGCTGGGATAAGCAGCCTTCCCCAGCTTAGCATCCTTCAGATATGCTGGTAATTCTCAGTCAGCACAGTGAATAGGATGATAAGAGGTTTTGTCCAACCTGTGGGTACAGGCTGAGGTCAGGGGATGCTGTTGCAAAGGAACTTCATATATGTTTATCCTGTTTTAAAATTATTATACTACCGTATTTGCTGGCATATAAAACGACTGGGCGTATAAGACGACCCCCAACATTTCCACTCAAAATATAGAGTTTGTTATATACTCGCCGTATACGACTACCCTCTCTTCCGCACACCTTCCACACACCAAATAAAAGGTGCTATTCATTGTAACCATTATACAGCCGCAGCGTGACCGCAGCGCCTCCAGTCCGCCCCTGCATCTCCCTGTGACCGGCACTAGTGCGCAAGCAAGTGCACATGTGTGAGTTCTGCGTAGACAAAGGGCGGGCTGGAGTGTTGCTGCTTCCCGCCGAGCAGAACGGGCTGGTCACGCCAAAAAGGCTGGCACCCCTGTCTCACTGCTGATGCTCGCCGCGGCCGTGCTGGATACCGCGCGATACTGGACGTTATGTAGAATGAGGTGGGCAGGCATCGGGAGGCTACTATGGGCATCGGGCGAGCATCAGAAGGCCACTATGGGCAGCTATGTCTATCCCAACTGAAGTGCCCCCGGCATATAAGACGACCCCCCCCCACTTGGAGGCATGTTTTTCAGGGCAAAAAGTCATCTTATACACCGGCAAATACGGTATTAACCAAGCTTTTCCTCAAAGGAACTCAAAGAGCTCCTCCCCATCTATATTCTCACATTGGTCTTGTAGGGAGAGGAGAGATGAAAGGTAGTGACTGACTCAAGGTCATTCAGCGTTTAACTGGGACATCAATGTTAGTCTCTCTGTCCTAGATTAATTATCTAACCACTACACCACCCTAGTTGGGCATCTAATGGTTATAGATTCTGTGTGGAATTCTAACTCACTGTGAGTGAACAGGCGCACAGCAGGTGGAAAGACATCAAGGAAATAAGAACCACCATGTGCTGACTCCCAAATCCAATCTTAACCTCTCTAGCAGCATAGCAAATCACTTTGGAATTGGATGCGGGTGGCTCAATTCTCTGCTCTGCCATTAAAGTTGCTGAGTGGTTCCAAGTAACATCATAAAGGTCCCTGGACATCGCAAAGGTCTCTGGGCATGATCTTTTGAGCCACCCCTCAACTGCACGGTCACAGGCAATGTTGATCTGATGGGTGAAAGGAAAGCCATTATAGGTCTATTACAGGTCTGAAGCTACATTTTAACCTGTCCTGCCCTCCATCTAAGATGAGTAAGTGACAAATTCTCTATAATTCAACTGAGCCTTAAATGCAAGATGAGATGAGCCTTAGAATATGGCCAAATAAATAGCAGGTGGTGGGCTGGGAGAGAGAGGGAAACAAGTCGGCAAGAAATCAGGGTGTAATACTGATATATATCAGTATATATGGGGGGGGGGAGAGATGATCATTCAATGACCTTGTGTATATATTATTTATATGCCCCTTTTCTCCCCATAGGTGACCCAAGGCAGCTCACAACAGATAAAACTATAAAACAAAAAAGTTTTAAAATACTATATAAATATCTTATTAGTTCTTACAAAGAACCAGGCTTCTATTGGCTAGCTTGACATGATGGAATTTTCACTTGTTCTGTATTTCAAAAATAAGCAATGAAAGCTAATTAAAAAAAAACACTCCAGGCTAGATCAGCATTTAGAGAAAACCGCTGTCATGGAATTAGAGTGAAGAATGTAGACTGGGCAATATAGGTTCAGGTCCCCATTGAGCAATGAAGCAGAATTGGATGATCTGAAGCCAGCCTTCTCTCTCTGAAAGAGGTACCTTACAGAACTGCTACGAAGACAAAACAAGAAGGCCACTAAGGGGCAAGAGAATGGTGTCTCAAAAATTATACAGGACTTTAAAAAGGTACATACAAGAAACCCTTCCCCTCAAACATGGTACAAAAAGCATTTTAAAAAGCCTCAGATTGACACACCTTCCTTCCCACCAATCCTACTCCACTTTTGTCTATCTTATCACCCTACTTCTTTCAACAACGGTCATACAGATGTTCACGTTACAGACAATGGCAACTTACTGGACTTGGTTTATATTCTCAGAATAAAGAGTGTGGCTTAAGGTGCTGGTTTTTCCAAGGGGAATGAATCCAATCGGAATCTTACTGAACGCTGCCTGGGGACAAGGGCAAAACAAACTGACATCAGCACCAGCTCAATTCAGCTCCCTTTTTTTCCAGAGCACAGCTGTGTCCGATATTATCGCCTTCCTGCCCTCCCAGTCCCTAGTGTGAAGCATGCAGGCTCTTCCTGAAAGAGAAGCGGTAATAAATAATGACGAGGAACATCGGACTCTTTAGACAACCCTCCAAGTGCCAACTAGCTACAAAGCAGTCTTCTATACAGTCATTAGGCGCATTGTTACATACGCAGAGGCTGGCACGTATTCTCCAAGCAATGTGCAGATCCTGTCAGGAACATGCCATTGACAGAAAGACATCTGATGCATGGCTGCGCTCAAGTCTCATTTTTGTCTCCAAGCGAAGCTCACTCTTGACAGAAATAAATCATTCAGATGCCTTTCCCCATGGAAACAGCATTCAAGAGCATCCACAGCAATCAAGCTGGGTGAATATTATTGTGTATCATTCAAATGGCCATTTTTAACTATCTAGATTTAGAAACACATCATTGTCCCTGAAAAATGTGGGAACAGGCATACAGTATTTGCTAAAAGGGACCACACAATGAGTCCATCTCTGGATCAGGATTTGTAAGTTCAACTACAGCTCTCTCTGGTCTCTGGAGGTATCAACTACGATACACCCTTGGCTGGAAGTCATTATTTCTTTCGTTCTCATGATCAGGCATCACTAAGGACATACACAACCACACACGCACACAAGTACAGTCAATCAAAAGCAGTACTTCTTGGTGTGTGTCATCAAATCAATGTTAATGACTCTATAACCACAACTCCCTGGCTCGCTCTGCAAAATACTGCAGCTTGCAGCACTGTGACTCAGCAAATCCAATTCATTGCTTCTGCATCACTTTTGTCTGTACACCTCCTTTTTATTATGTTCTCCACAGTCAATCCCTTTCCTATATCTTTTTCTTTTCTGTCTCTTTATATCTCCCAGGGGATGGGCTAAATGTCAGAGAGTAATTTTTACCGTATGTACTACATACAGTACTGGCTGCCATGGGGCGAGAAGGGTTACCATCTGAGATTTTATGCCACCGGCTCATAACAGACCTTTGTGGTACAGGCTTGCTTTTGTTAAACAATTAGACACGGGGCATTCTGGTAAACTGTACTAGAGTGCATTATTCTGTCACACAGAGTAAAACGAAAAAAAAAAGAGAACATTCAAGTGAAAGTGTTGTGGGACCCCTTAATCCTAGTACAGTTCCAGGAGTTCCTAGGTGAGAGGGATTGTCTAAATCCACTTCAATCTGGTTTCAGGCTTAGTTATGGGATGTAGACAACTTTAATGGCCCTGCTGGATGATCCACATCAGGAACTAGATGGAAGAGTATGTCCCTGCCATTTTGCTGGGCTTCTCAGACACTTTCAGTATCATTGGCTAGGGTTTCCTTTTAGATTACCTCTTTGGAATGGGGCTGCAGGCACTCCAATATTTTTTGGAGGCACAATCTCAGAAGATGGTGTTGGAGAATTCATGTTTGACATCCTGGCCTCTGACCTGCTAAGCCCCACAGTCATCTCCCCCATTCTATATAACACACATCTAAAACCACTTTTTAAGAAGCTGACCAAAGTTTTGAGATTCTGGTGGTACCTAAAGGCAAACAATACCCAACTCTATCTCTCCTTTCCATCTAACTCAAAGGAAGCTGTTTTGCTTCTATATAATGTCTGATGTCAGGGGCAGACTGAATAAGGGTGAGCATATTGACAGGTAGAGGTGTTCCTGTTTAGTCCAAAGGCAGATGAGGGAACTGCTGGATGGAACAGGTTTACAGCTTGGATTTTTTCCTTGAGGCATCCTTAAGCCTGGATGTCCATGCTTCAGTGGCAGTCAGGAGCACACAGTTAAAGGTGGTAAACCAGCTGCATCTCTTCTTTGAGATGTCTGATCTGGCTATGGTGACACATGATTTAGTTATATCCACTTGGATTCCTGTAACATCCTTTATGTGGGCTGCCTTTGAAGGGTGGAGCTAGATAAAACCTTCAAACAAAGCATGAGTCTTTAGCTGTTTCTTATTCTCAACTAGCATGGGTAATGTAAAGGAAATGGGGAACACTGAGAGTACTCTTTAGGTCACACCCAAGAGTAGTGATGCTCCCGTCCACACAAAATAATTGCACACAGCAGATGATTCTTGAGTATGATTTCTATATGCCTGCTCTGTTGCATTCATTCTTGCTGGTTAAGAGATCATCTGATGATCTGTTACCTGAGAAGTGGGCCAGGGATTGCCAAGATCCTGCAGCTGACCTTGTTTGGTCAGAGAAAGAAGTTCTTAGGTCATGGGATCCCATGTGTGTAAACTACAACTCCTACTCGACAGGGTCCAGCATTGCATGGAGAGCATGAGGTGTGAGAGTATCAAGTAAGCCTACCGTTATGGCAACCCAGATACAGGATGAAATTAGCCTCTTCTTCAATACAGTGGTGCCTCACTTAACGATTACCTCGTTAAACAACGAATCCGCTTTACAATGTTTTTTTTGCGATTGCTATTGAGATCGCAAAACGATGTTCTTATGGGGAAAATTCGCTTCACAACGATCGGTTCCCTGCTTCGGGAACTGATTCTTCGCATTATAATGATCTAAAAACAGCTGATCGTCACGTTTCAAAATGGCCACCCGCTGTGCAAAATGGCTCTCTGCTGTGTTAAGGACGGATTCCTCGCCATATAGGCACCAAAAAATGGCCGCCCTATGGAGGATCTTCGCTGCACAATGAGGTATTTCGCCCATTGGAATGCATTGAACGGTTTTCAATGCATTTCAATGGGTTTTTTAATTTCACTTGATGACTATTTCGCTTAACAGCAATTTTAACGGAACACATTATCGTCATCAAGCGAGGCATCACTGTAAAACAGGGAACAGAAGCTGAACTGAACAGAACAACCTAGACTGTAGCACTGATCCATTAGTCATTTACCCATTATTTCCTTCACCACAGGGTAGAGTAGGAGAATAGATGGTGGATAAGCATAAGTATCTTCCATTAAGCAGTGAAGCTGTCACAATATGGTATTCCTTTTGCCTTGTTTCCTTTCAGCTACAGAGATTTGAAACCTTCAGATTTGTCAGACAGAAATTTAATTATTTACATTGATGCTAAAATATAATTTTGTCTCTCTATAAGCAGGCAAAATAGTTCTGAAGGCACCATTCCAGTAGCGAACATCCTCCTCAGATGTTTGAATGAATCATTAAATTGCTTTTTTTGCCAGATTCTGATAAGACAAGCAGCTCAATTTGCGTGATATAATACATTCCTACCAGTGGAAAATATTTCATGTAAAGTTTGATTTAAAACAGAATGGGGGCACAGTACTATTTTGTCACATGAAAGTGAAGTGAGCATGGTGGGAGAATTTGCTTGGAAGAATAGGACAAACACATGTAAGTCTCTGAAAAAGTTTTGCAATTTGATCCCATGATGGTGTTCGGATGTAATTTCTTGAAGAGGGGATAAGAACTCATTTTTGAGACACAGCCATGGCTCTCAATGGGGTGGTAAACCTGTGCCCAAACTTTTTTCTAAGAGGAAGACATGTCAGACTGTTTCAGTTTGTACAACAAAACAATATATACAACCAAAGCATTGCAGCATCTGTTAGTCTTCAAGGTGCCACAGTACTCCAGTTTTCATTATATGTTATGTACATAATTAAAATAATAATCTGCCTTATGGTAACCTTTTCCAGGGTTTTCTAGGTAGAGAATACACAAAAGTGGTTTGCCATTCCTTTCTTCTGGGGGGGGTGCCCTGGGACTGTGCTACCAGCCAGCTACGCTGTGCATAGGCAGTAGTATTTCATACTACATATGAAAGAGCATGTGAATGAATGCTCTTCCATATGAATTAGACATCTGTACACAGAAAATAACTTGGAAAGCGTAGCCTCCCCATCTCACTGGCATGCTACTTTTCCACGTGTAGGGAACCACTAGTATAGAGAAGGATTCAATACCACCCATATGACACGGTACAGCCTACACACAAGTTCGTTACTGCATTAAAAAACTGGGCCAAAAACAAACCAGAAAAACTGCAACAAGCTAACATCAGGTTAGCGGATGCTCAGTAATAGCTAACAGTAAGGATTACAGAATGCCTTGGTCCTGGCAATTAAGATAAGAATGGAAGAAGATAAGGATCTTACCTCATCTGCCCTTCGGAGAAGTCCAGTAATGACCTGAAACAAGCAAGACAGGATACTAGCAAAAAGTTGCCTTAGTAAGCTGTGTCTGTACAAAATGGGTCAGAAACCGCCTTCATTTTCGAAGCAAAAGCACACCACCAAGACTTAATGTACCCTACAGTTTCTGTGAAGATTATATACCTGATGACAACTTGAGTTTCAAATGATTTAATGGTAATATTCAGAGAAATCAGATCCAGTTATTTGAAAGCGATTTCTGGGATGGGGAAGCAGAGAATCAGCTATTGGAAAAATACTCCCCATAGCACAATTTATTCTTGTTGACTGGCGAAGTTCTATCCAGAAGGGTCTATTCAGCCAGATGAAGGTCAGGAAAAACAGGCTTCCTGACCAATCGCCAAGAAAGGCACTTTTCACCAAATTATGAAAATGCATTTGAAGTCAATACAACTGCCTACTATAGCAATATTCTACAGGTCTCATTCTGGGGGACAAACTTAGAAACAGACCATAGCACAAATATACCATAATAAAATTCCTCCTTAAATAGATGCAGTTTTACAAGTTGTTCTCTCTTTCATAAAGGTAAAGGTAAAGGTTCCCCTTGACAATTTTTCCAAAGAACAAGAGCAACACATGATAGATTTATTCCAGGAGAGAGGACAGTCCAAAATAACTGTCAAAAAGACAGTGCTGTACAAAAGGACAAGGAAGCCAGACATTTGTACATGTTTTAGTGAAATTAGGAGGATGTAACCACTTAGCACTGCTTCCAGGCAGATGGCAGGATCCTAACAACACAATCCCAAGATTGTGTGTGCCTCCCTCCTACATACTCTCCACAATACACTGTTGCAGAAACTCAGGTCTCAGTGAAATTAGGAGGATGTAACCACTTAGCACTGCTTCCAGGCAGATGGCAGGATCCTGACAACAACACAATCCCAAGATTGTGTGTGCCTCCCTCCTACATACTCTCCACAATACACTGTTGCAGAAACTCAGGTCTTTCCATGTTATCATATAGGAATAGAAGATTTTGGTGGCAAACTGTTCAAATCCACTAAAGCAAGGAGAAAAAAAATCCTTTAAAGGGGTTTCCCAGTTTGCCACCAAAATTAGAACAACATTCTCCTGCTGTTTTAAACGTTTCTTCCCAGCCTGTTGTTGAAATTCTGGACAGTCTGCCACTAAGTTTCATTTGGAGACAAGCAGTGCTATGGTGGGGGGCTCCGGGACTCCCGACACACTAAAGCGGTCCACCACACCTTAAGAGGACCCTCAGGTGACATTATCAGGAAGAAGATGAATAGACAATTCAAATGCTTGTGCTTCTCTTTTCAATTAACACTTGCATGGTGTTACATGGAACTATACTAAGCTGCATTTAAACTTATTACATATACAGATATTTGCAACTTGAAACCCTCCAGACATGCTCAGCTATGCTTCTCATCAGTCCCAGTGAGCACAGCTAATTGCCAGGGATAATGGGAGTTGTAGTCAGACACAAGACATCAGGACGTGGAAGGCTGGATTTGGGAAATGTGCCTATTTCATAAACCACCGCTTGTCCAATCTCACATGTGATTGGAGGATCCAACTAGCTAATAACAGAAATAAAAGTTCCAGTCTCCTGCTTTTGGCAATGCAGGCACAGAAAAGCAGGGAACCCACAAAAGCCCATTTCTGCATTTGGATGGCCTGTCATGCCAAAGTTAAGGCACAAGAAGCCACTCACTCACTCTTCCACAACCGCATTGAATTCAGAAGCTCTCGCCTCCTTCTCAATGTAACCACTTCTTATCTGAATTGAGAAACATGGCTAATGTTATCCATGGTTTGTCTGAAATAAGACCACCTCAAAGTCAAAGAAGTCAAAGTCAAGCACTAAGGCAAAGCAAAGCAAAGCAAAGCAAAGCACTGCTGCTTATATACCACCCCATAGCACTTAAAGCACTCTCTGGGCATTTTACAGTTTAATTGTGCAAACTACACACTGACCCCCAGTGAGCTGAGTAATCATTTTACTGAACTCAGAGGGATGGAAAGCTGACTGAACCCTGAGCCAACTAACTGAGATTAAACCCCGGGTCGTGAGCACAGTTTTGACTGCAGTACAGCAATTTAACCGCTGTGCCATGAGGCTCATTGTGTCTTATCCACATCATGTTTAACTATGACTTAGCACTACATCTGAAGGCAGGCACTATATTATGTGCACTTTCCTTAAAGAACCCAAACTTGATATGCTGCCACAGCAAATCGGTTATTTTCTTCCTCTTCATTTACTGTACATCAATCCTACTTCCCAACTGAAAATTGGCCATCATTCATCTAAAACTTACATACACCATATATATATGAAAGCAAATGATCTGAAGCTACAGTACAGAATTTTAGCAACACACTTTCCTAAACCTTTTCAGCCACAGCGATATAGTGTCTGTGAATAACATATGACAGAGGAAATAATAATAATTTGAGGCAGACCGCAACATGGGGCGAGTTAATAGCACCATCAGCAAGGGGGTTCTGTGCGAGAGTTGAAAACAATTCTTTACCAACCATCAGAAAGTGACAAAAACCTGCACTCGTGTTTTATGTGCCTGAAACAATGGTTTTATTACCTACCTCTTCTGTACCTAAAAGATATATCAGAGACAAGATTGCCTAACATCATCTCCTCACTCTGAAGATAACATCTCATAAAAAAAACACTGAAAAGCTTCCCTATATGAAAATTTAAGCTCTATTTTCCTGCTTCCAACAAGACACTGAGGGAGGAGGTGGGTGAGGGAACATAGAAAAAGTATTTTCACAGTACCTCCTGTAGAGTTCCATCGCCTCCTGCAATAATGATCATGTCTGTGTTTTCCATCAGCTCCAGCAATTTTTTTGCTTGCCCTTCATAATCTGTCTGAAAATGGGGAAAAAATGGGTCATAGAGAACCACTGACGTTTAATGTGCTTGTTACAAAAGTGGTGTGTGTGTGTCTGTGCCCAAAACAAATATTTATACCATCCTTCCCCAACTGCTCTCTTTCAGATACGTGGAACCACAATTCCTCTTCTCTTTCTTTCTTTCAAATATTTTTATCCCTGCTTTTTTCCTTAAAAAGGACCAAAAGCACCTTGCATCATTAAAAGGACAATATTTAAAGCGGATTCCAAAATATCTCCTGTATGGATAATTAGTGCAGGGAAATCGCCCCAGAGGGAGACCACAGCTGCGATACAAGGATATCTGCAAGCAGGATCTGAAGGCCTTAGGAATGGACATAAACAGATGGGAAACCTTGACATCTGAGTGCTCAGCCTGGAGGCAGGCAGTGCATCACGGCCTCTCCCAATTTGAAGAGACCCTTGTCCAGCAGGCCGAGGCAAAGAGGCAGTCCCGAAAGCAGCAAAATCAGGGAGCTGGACAGGGGACAGATTGTATTTGTCCTCATTGTGGAAGGGATTGCCACTCTCGAATTGGCCTTCTCAGCCACACCAGATGCTGTTCCAAGTCCTCTATTCAGAGCACATTACCATAGTCTCGCAAGACTGAAGGATGCCTAATCTAAAATTTAAAGCTAAAAACAAGGAGTATACAGCATTGTTGTCCATCCACAAAATGCCAAGTCAGAGAAGGATCTTCCTTAATTCATATCAGTGTCTTGCCCAATTCAAACTCATGGACACATATGAAATATAGACAAAGTTAAAAAACCAAATAAAATGTCAAGCCAAGCAGACTATTCTTGATGAGAAGTGGTCAGAGCACTAGATGTGTACAGAAACATTTCCTCGATTTCAGTCATTGTCCGGGAGGGGGGAGGTCAGTGTCCATGACATGGATGGGTTCAGTGCTGCTTCGGAGCAACACTTTTGGAAGTGAAGGATTGGCTGGCTACATGCCATTGCCCAGGGGACACTTGGGTGTTCTATCCCACACTTTGGCTCCTTCTGTGATAAGACTTTTTTTTGCTACATACACAGATGTGTATTTTCAATGCCCACCAAAACAATACAAGTTATCTTTTCTACTTCTTAAAAACGCTGTATGCTGTCCTCACAAGCAGAATCTTTCCCAGGATGGTTTACAGTACATCACAAAAAGAAATCCCTGCTGTATATTCACATAAGAAAAATATATTCCATGCTGTTCTCAAACTATCAACATGTGATTTAACCCCAAACATGCACATTTTGATGAAACAGTTGTTGCAGAGATTAATATACAGCCGTGCCCTGCTTTACAATTACCCTGCATTACGACGAATCCGCTTCATGACGACGTTTTTGCGATCGCGAAACGATGGTCTAAATAGGATTTTTTCACTTTGCGATGTTTAGGTACGGATTCCTTGCTATACAGGCACTGAAAATGGCCACCATATGGAGGATTTTTGCTAGACGGTGATTTTTTAGCCCACTGGAATGCATTGAACAGTTTTCAATGTGTTGTCAATGGGTTTTTTATTTTTGCTTTATGACGTTTTCGCTTAACAGCGATTTTCCTGGAACGGATCATCGCCGTTAAGCGAGGCACCACTGTATTATATGATCTGAGCTTCTTCAAAGAGGTATTTTCAAAGACATGGCCACCTGGGATGGCGACTCACTGTCAAGTCAAACTTAAGTCACACCAGTGACTCACCTCATTTTTTTCCTTCAAAATTATTTGAACTCAACTCATGACTCAGAACCCACCCACCCCTTCCCTTTTTCTGAGGTAAAAAAGCTTGCTTTCAATAGGGACTCGGACTTGGGACCAAAGACACGGACTCGGTGCCAAAGACTGGGACTCAGACCCAAAGACCTGCCAGCATCCCTGGTGGCCACCTTAGCCTGTATCAGCACCTTCTAACAAACAGAAATCAAAGTATTGTGGCAACTTCAAGGGGAACAGGCCAATTTCAGTGTGAGCTCCTGTGGATTACAATCCCCTTCCAAGTGTCTAGGAAAGTAAACTGCAATCCACTCAAGTCCCCACTAAAATCAAGCTATTTGTTCAAACAAACGTTCTGCTTAATTTTTTGTTTTGTTTTTGTCATCCGTTCATTTTTTATTTTTTAAAAATATTTTTACTGTGTTTTTCCTTACTTCTCTACATGTTGTTGCAATCAGAGGTTTATTAAAGTACATACAATTCATTTCATCTCATTGTAGATGGACAGTTTTTGAAGCACATTTTGCCATTCACTCCTTTGTAAGTGTATTAATAGAAGTGAACAGTGCCACCTATTGAATTGCCCATACCACATCATAAAACACTACAAAGATTTGCTGTGGACTCCCATTCAAGTACAGTCGTGCCCCGCTTAACGACTGCCTTGCTTAATGAGGAAATCGCTTTATGATGAGGTTTTTGCAATTGCAATTGCGATCGCAAAACGATGGTCTAAATGGGGAGATTTTGCTTAGCGATGATCAGTTCCCTGCTTCGGGAACTGATTATCACTTTACAACAATCAAAAACAGCTGATCGCCGGGTTTCAAAATGGCCACCGGCTGAAGAAAACGGCCCCCTGCTGTGCTTAGGGACGGATTCCTCGCTGCACAGGCATGGAAATTGGCCGCCCCTATGGAGGATCTTTGCTGGACAGTGAGTTTTCAGCCCACTGGGACGCATTAACCGGGTTTTAATGCGTTTTGATGGGCTTTTAAATTTTGTTTGCCGATGTTTTCGCTGGAACAAATTAACATCATCAAGCGAGGCACCACTGTACTGGAATGCTATTTGTGACTTAAATGCTTCGTATTTATCAAGGATCTCCCCTGGGGATAACACAATATTTTAAAAATATTGGGAAAGATCCCTAGCTCAAGGGTACGGCACATGCTTTGCCCATAGGAAGGTACATATGATACCATGCATATACATAACTAACATTACAAAAATTATCACCATTGACAGCATTGCCAGGTACAGAATTTGGTATATCAAATACCAAATAGGGGAAAAAGGTCCCTGACTTGCTGTCTGAAAAGCTGCTATTTGTCTGAAATACACAATTCTGATCTAGATAGCCCACTAATCTGATGAGATGAAGGGAACTTCATATGCTCATTATTATGATTTTCAGAAGAAGCGATCCTGTCTTCCCGAAAAGTGTATTTTAGCTCTATGTACACAGTCTAAGAAGTGGGACACTTCCAAAGCAGAATCTGCTACTGCCTACAACTAGAGAACAGCCAACCCTTACTTCTAGTAGGCAGTGCAATGTAAGTTATGCAATGCACAACATAATCTCAGAACAATTTCATCCCTTCCCCTTCATCTTTTAATGTTCTCATTAGGGATGCTCTCTTTCCCTATCCAGGTGGCCTATACAAAAGTGCAGAAGTGCTCTGGCAATTTATGAGCCTCCCTGCATCAATATTCACCTTTCTCGAGCAGAGCTGCCAAACCCTGCTTGTTGACATTCACCAGGAGCCAACGTTCTAAAAATCTACACTGCATATCCTGCCAAGAGGTCAACTATTATCTGGTCTCTGTCAGCTGCAGCTAAAAACCACATAAGCAGGATTTTTTTCTTTTTAACAGGCAAAATTTTTGAAATGATAAAAACAGAAGCCTCTCATTGCAAAATTTATTCTCTCCCTTCTAACAAATTCTGACCAATATGGAGCAGAAGGGAAGAGATTCACAAACAGAAAGAAATGGGAGTCTGTTCTCAGTTTTTACCTTAACCACAGTCACATCCAAACCAGACAAGTGGAGAATCGGTGCTGCATTTTTTTCAAAAAGGCTTCTGGCTTTGCTGGAAAGAAAGAAAGGGGGAAAAAAGGAACAGATCACTTGAAGGCAGTTCCTTTTTAAAAACATCCTTCCCTGTTAAAAACTAAGTCAGGTTCATAACCAAACCAAGCTGTTCAGCAGGTCCCCAGGCAAAATCTAAGCCAAGGGAAACAAATCTGAGCTGTCATTGAAGGAAAAGTTTTCATTTTAAGCACTGCAAAACTTGCTATTTGAGTGGAATTATTCTCTGTGTGCAAAACAAGTCACCATTGTACAGTTCTTAGCAGTAAGATACCTTTGTGAGCAAGGGAAAGCTTCCTTCTTCAAGAGTGACACAATTAGTGTGAGTGAGGGAGTGGCGGGAGAAAAGTAGGCATGGTTGGAAGTCAAACTGTCTAAATATTTTGAATTACATTGTTATCACACCCTTCCTCCCAGGATCTCTGGTTATCATACATGGAACTTCCTCCCTCCCTTGTTTTCATGATCATAACATTCTACAAAGTAAAATAGACAAAAATAAGGATTTGCACCCAAGTCTTCTTCATCCACATGAAGAAGACTTGGGTGCAAATCCTTATTTTTGTTCAGCATCCTGTGGGCAACATTATACTGGCTGTCAATGTTTCATATGAAAAGTGAACAAAATCTCTTCTCCACTCTTAATAGAAGACAGAAATGCAGTACATTGCTACCAGCACACGCTGCCCTATTCACAATGTCCAAGGCATTCTCAGAGAGTATCAGCAGAAGACATTAAGAAGCAATCCATCCAGGTATTCACTCAGACTGGAAGATCAGAAGAAAGTCCTTCAACAGTGTGAAATTACATTATGAACAAAAACAGCATACTTCTCACCACATTTTTGCTGAAAATCCAGTCGTACGTCTCAACTAGAGTAGCCCTATTGAATCAATGAAAATTATACAAGTGTTGACTCATCACATCCCCACTGATGCAATGAGCCAACTCTAGCTGGGACCTACTACTGTACTGGATTTCAGCTGCACTGGCCCTTCCGTTTGCTCCTTTGCATGGCATTCCCCACCTTTCTTGTGCAACTACAGACTCTCAGTTTAGGGCCAAGCTACCACTGACGCTTCTTGTGTAAATGGAGGAGGGGGGCAGGGAAGAGTGGGACTCACATCATGGTGTCTCAGATGGTAAGGTTAATTCTCTCCCCTCATCCCCTGCTGTGATTCTGATTAAAACCGCACACACAACTGCCATTTATCCTGGACAACTTGGGGGAAGGGATTAAACTGGCTTCCACACTATGATCAGTCTTCACTCCCCATAGATACATTAAAAAAAAAACCCATGCATACTATTTGCTTCCATTCAAGTATTTTTGTCTAGTTTTGTCCTTTGCTGGAAGCACTCTTTGAGACTAGAAATTGTTGTACATGGACATGGGAGGGGGCGGAAATGTCCAGTTTGTCCTTTGAGCCCGTTTGCTGAGTTCACCTGAAAACAATATAGCAGATTTGTTCCTCCAGATGTTTTAGGCAACAATTGCCAGCGCCCATTAGCTATGCTTCATCAGGATAACATGGCCAAAGACTTCCACCCTTGCTACAGATTATACTGTGTGAAAGCAAAATATAAATTAAAAATCTAAGAAAGAAAGAAATTTTTTTTTTATTCTAACAGCATAGCCAGTAGAAGAACTAATTAAGCCAAGTGGAATAATAATAATGCAAATGCTTTTATAGCCTGATTTTAAAAAAAAAGCTTGGAATTAAAATCAAGCAAGACCAAGAAGGTATAGTTTATATTACTACCTCTGTGCAATACTAGCTCAAGAACACCTTTCATTTTGTAGGTAATTGCTTACAGAAATTCCTCCTATTTCTTATATTACATTGATAGCTTTCTTTTTACTACATGCTCACTACCGCATACTATGAGGGAGTCACCTACTACAGCACTCTTGGTGGACCATCTGTTCTTACCCTGTGCGCCCCCACAAGGTCCATTGGAGATGACATCTGCTTGGCCTCAGGCAGACACTGAAGCCAGTCAGACAGCACAGGGCAGGGAAGAGGAGAAGACCAGTGATGAAAGGGCCCTGAGGGAGAAGGCATGAGCCTTTGCCAACAGCTGGGAAAGACAACGCTGAGAGAGCTGAAGGCAAAGGGAGGTCAGGAGGATGAAGCAACGTTGAGGGCAACGGAGAAGGAGCCAGGAACATAGGAAGAAGAGGCTTGGGGTGTTGCAGTGGAGGAACCCAAGCCAGACCTCTTCATCAAGGCAATGTATTATTACATCTACAATGTGGTCCCCAACCTTTATAACCCCGTGGACCAGCTGGGGAAGGCGGGGCACCCCCTTGCGCTTGAGCACATGCACGAAGGAGCGCAGACTCGTGCACATACACGAAGGAGTGGGAGGGTGCTCATGCAGGCACTCATATGCATGTGCAAAATGGCAGTGCAGTGCTCGTGTGGGTGCGCTTGTACTCATGCGCATCTGCAAACGTCGGCGCAGCACTCATGTGGGTGCACGGGTGCTCATGCGCAAGTGCAAAGTGGCTGCGCAGGGGGAGTGCATCCGGGGTGGGTGGGAGTTCTGTCTCCGCGGCCCGGTCCGGCTCAGGCCACGGACCGGCACCAGTCCGCGGACCGGGGGTTGGGGACCTCCGATCTACATGGAAGATCTCAGCTTAAATAAAGCACCCTTACAGCGTTTTCACAACCTGGAGCCTATGGATATAATGTCCATCTGTTTCTAGATCTGGACATAGCATTTTAAGAAGGATGCCAACAAACTGGATCAAATTCAGAGGAGAGCAACAAGGATGATCAAACTGGAAAACAATGAGGAAAGACTGAAAGAACTGGGCATGTTCACCCTTGATAAAAGAAGACTGAGGGGGAGATATGATAGCACTTTTCAAATACTTGAAAGGCAGTTATATGGAAGAGCAGCAGGTTCTGTTCTCAATCATCCCAGAGTCCATGACACATAATAATGGGCTCAAGCTACAGGAAGTCAAATTCAGGCTGAATATCAAGAAAAACCTAGAGCAGTATGACAATGGAACTCACTGCCTCAGGCGAGTGCTCCAACACTGGAGGCATTCAAGGAAAAATTAGCCAACCGTCAGTCAGATCTGCTTTGACTTGGATTCTTGCCTTGAACAGGGAATTGGACTCAATGACCTTATAGGCCCCTTCCAAGTCAATTATTCTATGATTGTACCTGACACTTGGCAAGGGGGCACGCACGCGTGTGCACGTGTGCACGCACACACGCGTGCGCACACACACACACACAATCTAAATGTTCTCTCCACCCTAATTCCCATTTCAACCTCACAACTATCCTCTGGGGCAGCTTAGGCTCAGGATGGAATTTTAATTTGCTGAACTGCAGTGCATTCTGGAAACGGCAGTCCAAAAGAGTAACTCTTCCAAGAAACATGGCTAAGAAACAGAAATTTGCCCCATTGGTTTCATAGTTGTGACTGACCATTATACCACTTTGTTGTAGTATCTTTAGAAACATTTTTCTCCATAAATCCTCAAGCAACTTACTCATTATTACCCGACAAATGAGGTACAAAATACCAACTGTTAGCTGACAATATGCAAATACTACGTTTAAAAGGAAAATATTGCTTGTTTTATTATTCAGTAACATGAAAACAAAAACTTTTCCTGACCTTGCTTAAGAATGCTCTCCTGCATTTTTATGCTTGTTACTGCATAATAAATAATTGTATCATTAATTATAAATTATTCTGTAAAAAACAATTTATAACATCCAAGGAATCGAAAACAAGATTTTAAACAACCACCATTATTCAAAAATGTGTCATCTGTATTACTTATATCCTTTTGATTCAATTCAATCTTTATTTGCAGTCTCCGACCCATTAAAATATATCCTTTTGAAAATAAGTTCAAGCCACAGTTTTGGATAATTAGACAATCACTGAAACTAGTCAAAAGAATTTCTGGAGAATGCTTGACCATTAACATTCAGATACAGTATAAAAGAACACCTTTTACTCCGTTACATGTCTATTCCCAAATATATTGTTTTCCTTCTTCCCACAGGAATTAGATGTTATGGAAGATGGGGGAAAACATGTACCTGGAGGCACAAGTGAGAGGCAACATTAAAGCTGTCTGTGCCCCTTGGTGAGCCTGGACCAGTGGTTCCCAATCTTGGGTCCCCAGACGCTCTTGGACTAAAACTCGCAGAAGCCTTCACCACTAGCTGTGCTGGGCAGGATTTCTGGGATTTGTAGTCCAAGAAAATCTGGGGATCCAAGATTGGGAACCACTGGCCTAGAATAAGCAGTGGTGTTACACATTTCAGCTGTCTCTTGGTCTGCAGAAATGAATAGGAGCCACAATGCATCATGCAAGCGACTTCCCAGTTCTCTCACAAACAGTAAAGCGATGTTTTAAAAGTGTGTGTATCTATCATACACGGAGGAGACCATACATGTTGGTCCTTTCCACCATCACTTTCCTTATGCAAAAGCAACTGATTGAAGAAGAGACCCTGCTGTAAACTGGGGACACACTGCATGCAGGAAAAGTGGAGTTCCCACTCATATGTAGAGCCTCCAAAGTTAGAACAAACAAACAAACAAATAAATAAATAAACAAACAAGGTCTCCTCTTCCTGCAGCCGCTTTTGCAAGTGATGATGTAGCCAACATGTTATTAACATCTGATCAGGGTTTCCAGGGGGTGTTAAACCAGCTTCTGATCTGTACTGCTTCAACTGCAGTTGGGACTATACAGGTAGCAGAATGAGATAGCAGAACAGTTTCTACTGCTTTAAATTTCAGGTGGGGACTAATTTTCATTGCTTCATTTAAAAAAAAACCCATGCACTTAGAAAGCTAGTAAACAAAGGGTTTTGCACTTTATCTATTGTATCAATCTTCTTTTCGATGGATTGAAGCCATTTAAAACAATATCTTCCTTTGAAATGGTTTTGAATCATCATGTAGATGCCCCCAGTGCTATTCTTCTACCTTTCTGAAGGGATAAGGTTTCGACATGGAAAGTGCTGGATCAGGCAGGTGAACTACTACAGCTCAAAACACATCCATGGTAACCTTGACTTCCAGAACCATTTTATAATCCCATTAATTTTAACTGATATTTTAATTAACACTAAAATGCTTTTCTGACTATTTTGCCATAACTCTGCAACATTACATTGCTGATTTTCAAAAGGCAAAAAGACCCCTTCTGGCCACTGCCAATTCAGCAAGGTGTTTTTTCCCCAAATTAATACACCACCAGTCTATGCTTCAAATTCACTCCTTTAAAAATAAATTTGGAGTGAAACACTACTGAAGGAGCAATGCTCACTGACAGAAAAATTCTGTTGACTTCAAATGGATACTAGAGCTGCTACTCTTGACCTTGAAACGATTTTGCACAAATTGACCCTTTGCTATCATTAAGCCTGAAGTACAAGAAGCACATCTGGAAGAAAAAGGTACAATATAGCTTTACGATCCATGTGACTCTCTGGCCATTTCTGTGTCTCCCAGGGCTATTTCTATGGCCCCTAGAATCTCTCTCCATCTTTTAAAAAACATATATTTTTCCAGAGAATGGGGATATTTAATTGCCAAGGGCTGCAGTTCTACTGTAAAGCAAGACATAATCTTCCCCCACCTTGTTCTAGCACAAAAACAACCAACACAGATACGTACACACCATCCAACCAAGCCTTCTACTCCCCAAACTAGAGCTGTCTTCATTTTGGAGCGGCTGGTATGGCCACTGGAAAATCTTGGGGGTGGAAAAAAGACCCCTGTCCCCAGACCCACTGAACATGTCTACCTTTGCTTTAGGGGTTTAGGAGGAGCACATCCAATAGTGCACTATGGCTACCTGGGTGAAACTTAACTTTCAAAAAGAGAGAAGGAATACTGATGACCCTAATGTGAAATCTGAAAGAAGAAGGAAAAAAGAGAGAAGCACATGATTTGGGATTCGTGCTACTGAATGTAACAAGTACTCAATTTAATTATGATTTCTTATCTATGATGGGAAAGGCTTAAGACGTTTGATAACATGAGGTTTAGGGAGGGTAGGGAGTAAGTCTTTAATTCATACCAGTGGTTACTCATGCAATCAAAGGCATAAAGTTTCAGGACATTAGGGGGGGAAAGATTGCAGGGAATCTTACCCTTTACAAGCTGCAGGGTTGAGAAATACAGTTGCTTTCTTTATCTGCACACTGGGAGGAATAATCTGGTTGCCAAACACCTAATAACAAAGTAGAAAGTGTGACTTCCTCATGAAAAAGCATTAAGATGTACTTACTTATTATGCATTTATTTATTTATTGGCTGAAATCCTTTTAGCATAGCTAGCTAAGCTGCAACTAGATTAGGCCCAATGAAACTGGGAATTTGGTAAGTCAGTGCCTCCATAAATTCTACTGATTCAATCGGCCTACTCCAGATGCCACTTACTATGCTAACCAACAAGATTTTGGCTGCTATATTTATACCCCACCCTTCAGCCAAAAAAGGCTCTTGAGGACTCTAACAATGTGTTGCAAATCACTGGCTACAACTCACCCTACCCTCAGGAAAATATTTGTCTTCACAGAGGGGAAAAACAGAGAGAAGGACTTTGTCAGGTTTCCTTTGGTGACCTTAGTAGGATTTCCGAGGTATGCGAGATATCTTCACCACTGCCACTCCCTAGTTGGACTCGAGGGCTTCCTGGCTTTGCTTCTGGGATGGACCAGGGCTGTCAGGTTTGAGCTGAACCCAGGCAAGACTAAGAATTTGTTCCTGGGAGGCCCCCCGTTTTGTGTGTGTGTGCGCGCGCGTACGCGCATGCATGCTGTCAGTTCCCCTGCAAACAATTTATGGCTTTCTGTGCTGTGACCTATCAGCCTCACTTTGCTGCAATCTGAGTCATCAGGATAGGACAACATAAGGAATAACTGTAATTGATGAGTTTGTCCTCAATGCTTCCCTTTCGGTGATCAGGTATAAAACAAAGCAGCTGAAACAATCATATTAAGAGAGCTCCATAGCTTTTCAGAGCAGCCCTTCTGAGCAATTATCAACATCACCGAGATTATTAGAGCAGAGAATTTAGAATGCATTAGAGCAAAGTTGAACATTAAATTCTATTTATTTTACTGCAAATTGGTAGGGAAAGGCAGACGGTACGTGAGAGACCACGACTCACAGGGCAAAGGACAGAGGAAAGCAAACTGGAATGTTATCTGAAGAACAGATGGGAAAAGTCAGTGATTAATTCTATTACTTTTGCATTCTTGAGGGAAATCAAGGGAAATGACTGTCTGCATTCATAATTCTCTGGTCCGTTAGCAGCTGTTAGAAATGTCTAATTATTTATATACATTTGTTTGCTCTGGACGAACAACCTGTTTCTTCAAACATGTTCTGCAGACTCGCCTTTTGTGAAAGCTTTGCTCTTGTGCAACTGAAGTCTGCGGGAAGAACAGGTCCAAAATCTGAGTACTATAATTTGTACCCCTGAAACAGGGGAGGCAGAACTCTGCAAGCCACAAGTTCTATTTAGTTCCTCGGCCACTCCTTTCTTCCCTTTACACTCCATACAACTGCCTCTGTAGCAAAGGAAGTCCCAAAGCTTTGATAAAATAACTGAGCATGTCAGTTAAAGTTGAATGTGCAGATACAACAGGTTGGGAACACAGTATCAGATGGTACATCCAAATGACTATGAAGGAACATTTTGATCTTTTAATCCAAGTGGCACTTGGACTGTAAACTCTAAAATAGATGGAAGGTGAGAAGATTTTATGGGACTTGATAAGGTTTTCTGAACCAGCTGCACTCTTAACTCTTGGAACACAGATTTCATACTTCCCATTCCCTGTCCTGCTTTGAAACTGACTGGCAGTCCACAGTTCCCATCAGGGCAGCCTGTTTACCTTCACACCATGATGGAGGAGGACTCTGCCCTATGTTACCTTTGCTTCTCCTCTTGAGTTCAGACAAGTAATTATCTAGATTGTCCATTCTATATAGGAGCTGGAAGACCACCTGTTCCTTTGGTCTCTTCCTGGTCCCTCTATGATGTCTCTCTCTGAGGATGAGCAAAGAGAGGTGAGTCCAGGCCATTCAGGCAAGGACGAAAAGTCTCTCTAAGTTACAGTAAGGTGTAAGCTTTGGGGGTTTCATTTCTCATGTTGAAATCTGTACTCATGTTTTTATGATTGTAGCTGTCTTCTCTTATGGCAATCATCTTTCTTGTTCTCTTATCTCTATTCTATGTACTGTATTCTTTCAATAAACTTTATAAAACTTGTGCACCTTGTCTGCAAGGTAACTGAGCGGGTATGGTCCTAATATCCAGTTCTTGTTCTCTTGTTATTCTACTGGCTTGTAAATGTTTTTAAAAGTTTTTTATTTTTATTTATTTTATTTATATCTCGCCTATCTGGTCGGTTAAGACCACTCTAAGTGGCTGTTCCCCATAAAAAGAGTGGTGGCAACGAAAAAAAGTTTTGGGCAGTCAGAAACCTGTTTCTGTCTAGGACTCTCAGTGATTCAGTTCTGAGACAGAGTGGTTGAGGGCTTCCACATGTGAGAATCACCACATTGATATAATGAGACTGTGTGGCATTATATCTGATATAGCTCCATTCTGGTCTTCTTCACTGGAGATGTACATCACATGATGGCTGGCATGCATCAACCAAGCTTTTGTTTGGCTTTCCTAATACAATACCTTCTAAATATTTTGGTCTACAACTCCCAGAATACAGAAAACTGAGAGTTGCAGCCCAACACAACTAGAGAGCAACAGATTGGGGGAGAACACACATTTCATCTCACTGGCTAAATCTAAACATTAGTTCCCACTAAGTCAATGCTGATGGAAGTATTACAGCTAGCATCTTGTTGTGTGACTAAACATATGTAATACCAGTGAGATCAGGGGCAGATTGCCATTAATTAAATAGTTCCCTTTTTTAAAATTTCAAGGTGCCCAGAAATCATACACAACCTGAAACTGAAAAAAGAACTCTTTAATTAGCAGCAAACTGCTGTTGTCAGTGTTGTCACTCCCATTGCTTAGGCAAAGCTATGCAACAGGATCCTGGCCATTAATTTCATGGTTCTTTTCTAGTTGGGACTAACAACTGAATTCAGTCCTACAATTAAAATATTGCTTCCCTTTGAATTAAACACCCTGGGAGTTTTTCCAAAATATATTATTTGAAAAACAGCTTTTAAAAAGGCCAAGATTTAAGTACAGATGCTGTAACACACTAATTAACACTTTAACAATGAACCAAAGTAAGCTGAACGCTAATATATTAGGACAGATAAAAAACACGAAATCATGGGCAAGCTTCCAAGATATTTTCATCTGGTAAGATAATATAAAATGTAGCGTAGGACAATGAAGAAAAGGAGGACTTGGTGGTTAGAACTTTAAGATGGAGTGACAGAGAAGGTGCAGATTTAGACGGATTAACTCTGCGAGGTATTAGGACAAGTAGGAACATACAGTAATGGGTAATCCCCCCCCCCTTTAGAAAATATAAAATTTGGATTTGTCTTCAACATTAGGTGAAACAAACTGATTCCCTTTACCTTCTATGCTACTCCATCTTAACACTCTGACCACTAAGTCCTCCTTTTCTCCAACCTAACTGAACAGTTCAGGTACAAATACAGTTAAAACATATAACGAATATGTTTAGAACACATATTAAAATGCAGCAATAATAAAAGAAAAATACAGGTGAAAGACCCTAAGCAATACCCCTTATCAAAGGCCAAAATGGAAAGTATTTTTGCTTGTCAGTAAAGAGTGAATCTTCCTGTAAAGGAATTCTGGAGCTGAGGAGCAGCCACCAAGAAAGCTCTTGTAGGAAGAAACCAAAAGTAAAGATGAACATGCATTAGCAAAGTTAGTGGTTATATCTAGGTGTTACTTGGGGGTGGGGGTGAAAAGAAAACAAAGATGTACAGTGGTGCCTCGCTTTACGAGCGCTCCATTTGACAACGAAATCGCATGACGTTGATGTTTTTGCGATTGCAAAAGTGATTGCAAAATGATGTTCCCTATGGGGGAATTTTGCTTTACGATGATCGGTTCGCTGCTTCGGTAACCGATCATTGCAAAGTGATGATTTTCACACAGCTGATCGGCGGTTTCAAAATGGCCACCGGGTGAAAAATATGGCCGTCCGCTGTTTTCTGGGACGGATTCCTCGCTGCACAGGCAGCGAAAATGGCTGTGCTATGGAGGATCTTCGCTAGACGGTGAGTTTGAACCCCATTGGGTTTTAATGCGTTTCTATGGTTTTTTTAATATTGCATTACGACGTTTTCGTTCGACAGTGATTTTGCTGGAACGAATTAACGTCGTCATGTGAGGCACCACTGTAAAGTATTATCTAGGGTTGGAGGGAAACCACCTTACCCAAGCATATTTTATATTTTGAAACTTGCCAAAAATGGTTATTCCCATCAACCAATACAGTACTTTTATTCAAGAAATAACCAAATTCAGGCAGAACACCAATATTTTTGCAACAAATGTAAGTTTTGTATTAACATGCCAATCCTGCTCCAAGGATAATCAGTTTTAGTACTAACTGACTAATAAACAGCACTTTCCCAAAATGGCCATTAACAAGTCCAAGACTGTAAAAATACATGTTTTTTTCAATAAAAGATGAATGTTAGACATTTACAAGATAGCCAGGTTTTCCAAATGTTTTGGCTACAAGTTCTAAAAATCGATGCGAGGGCCCAACCCCCAAGCATTACAAAAGAATATGTGTTAAAATTCATAGTGAGCAGGATTTTAAAAAAGAGAGAGAAGTTATAATGCAATCTAATTTGCCTTCTCCTGCTTCCTTAGAGTCTTTCTCCATTTGTGAATAGCTACTGGAGTACTACATCCAATCAGAATAAAAAAGCTGAACCTTCACTGCTCTCTATTCTGTCAGCTGAAATGGGATTTCAGTCTCCAGAGCTGTCAGTCCCACCACCCTTGGCCCATAAGTTTACTTAACAGCAGCAATACAGATAATTAAGTTTCTGGAGTTGACATAGCGAATAATCAAAAATATTCATGATGTTCCTGAATAATTTCTGATGTCACAAAATTTGAGATATAATTAGGCACAAAACAGACTGCAGAAAGGGAAAGTGCTTTCTCCTATTTGAGCGAAAGAATACAAACGACCCCTTTGTCAGGCTAGTCACGCAGAGGAGACCTGCTGGGAGAAGCTCCAGAATCCTGCACAAGTGAGATAAGGAGGGGGATTTTTAATCTAATTTGATCTTGTTAAATGGTATTACCTGGGCTTCCTGGCACGCAGCTCTCCTTAGCAGGTTATCGCTGTGGGAGGAAAGAAAAGAATGAGTGTTAGTGCAAGTTTAGGAAAGAGAGATGGGTGCACACATTACAAAATCTCTACTGTTATTACTTTTGACAGAAAACTTTCCAAAGGGACTACTTAGCCACCCAGAGTAGTCAATTGAGATGGGTGGGGTATAAATGCAATAAATAAATAAATACTTATCAGAAACAAATGTGGTTTAGAAGTCTTAATTTCAAGACTAGTTTTGCTTTCTTTCTTTAGCTATGCTTCTTTACTATGCCACACGTTGTAAGATTGCACAAATGACATCTCATTTGTGCAATCTTACAACATACTGACCAAAATGATGAAGAGTTAAATTATATACCTACAGTACGACCAAAATGATGAAGAGTTAAATTATATAAATCCTGAAAACATTTTTCCAGTTGCACTTTTGAGTGATACAATCCAACTGCCCAGCGTTCCAGTAAACGTCAACAAATGGTTTTTAGACATCCATCCATCAAGGCACCCACATAGGTGATGTACAGGCACTATGCAATTACAGCCACTGCACTCTTTGGTTGGGCCTCCCACGTTCAAGTGTGGACCTGCATCTCTCTCTCTCTCCCTCTCTTCGCAGAGAACAAGAAACTTGGCAAGCACCCAGACAGGCATGGAAGCTTGCAAAACAAGCACGAAATGCAGCAGCAGATGAAAGGCAATAAGCCAGATCCAAAGTCTTGCTCAGCCAAATCCACCTCTTAGGACCGTTTGATGCACCTGGCTTAGACCATAGCTGGAGACATGCTGACTTCCTAGAAGATGGTGGAGTGGAAGCTGGCCTGTGCCTACATCTAGTCCGAATATTCTTTTATTCACCTAAGTGTCTGAAGGAGCTGGATAAATAAAAAGCAAAAGTGAAGTCTGCCGCTTATATACCACCCCATAGCACTTAAAGCACTCTCTGGGCAGTTTACTAATTAATTATGCAGACTACACATTGCTCACCCCCTATGGTAACATGCTCTGTATGGAGGATGTGGAACAGCATGTAGTGTGGCTGAGAAGGCCAATTTGAGAGTGACAATCCCTTCCCCAGTGAAGACAAATGCAACCTGTCTCCTGTCCAGCTCCCTGATACAAGGCTTACTATATAGAAGTAAGTCTTGTCCAATTAAGCCCTTTCTCAATTCCTTAACATTCGATTTTACAAGCTATGGAGCTAAGGATTAAAGGAGTGAGGTGAAGGACTTAACGTAAAGTTCCTTTCTCTGTGAAGGCAGCATTGAACTCCCGTAGCCTGAAATTCTCTGGGTTGGAAAAGGACATCATTTTGGTATATCAGCCGGAAAAAAAATTAGGATTAGGATTAGGCATCCTTCAGTCTCGAGAGACTATAGTAACATGCTCTGTATGGAGGACTTGGAACAGCGTCTAGTGTGGCTGAGAAGGCCAATTCGAGAGTGACAATCCCTTCCCCAGTGAAGACAAATGCAATCTGTCTCCTGTCCAGCTCCCTGATTTTGCTGCTTTCAGGACT